ACTACATAGAAGAAATTCATGGTTCAAAAATTACAGTGCCGTTACAATTTAGTACCAGCAGACTTTTGTCAGCAAACCATTTTTAACACCAACACTGTTAACTTGCTTTCTTCAATGAGAATTTTATCCTGATCGAGATAGACATAAAATACTTGTTGCATAAGAAAACAATTTTAAAAAAAAAAAAAAAAAAAAAAAAAAAAAAATCAGTTGAGTGTAGGTTAAAAAATATCTAATGAATTTCCAGTGTAACTATAAGTCTAATTAAATGATCATTGGAAGCGAATGATTGAGAGCGACCAAACAATTGGCAGATATCAGACGTTTCAGTAAAAGGCGTGCTTAAAAAAATAGCCATTAGATCAAGATAATGATATATATATATATATATATATATATATAAGATAGCATATATTAAATGAGAAGTATATTCCACCTATATTGCACAAAAATAGTATTTCTTCAACTGAGAGAAAAGCTTCTGTTACATCAATATAGGCCTGCCCGGCTCCAACTTGGGGTCAATGGTAAGCTTTTTCCTTTATAAGCTGTAAAATCTTTCCTTGTCCCTTGATGGTTTTATCGGCAAACCAATGGGAAAAGACAAAGGTCAAACGGTATGGCCGTTTATTTTTCTTGGTGGGGATTTATTACTTTTTTTTTTTTCTTCCCCCTTTGATCTCTTGATGAGGAAATAAATATAAAAAATTAAATAATTAGAACCAAAAGAGTATGGCTGTTGTGGGAAGAAGAGCCCTTGCCTTCCCTTTTTCCTTTTTTTTTTTTTATCGTTATAAGATCTGTCTGAATTGGTTGTTTTTTCATCTCCCTCTAAAGGCATATTGTTTGTATCGTAAAACAGAAACCAAGGTGCCGACCCCCCCATCCCCACTTAGATTTTTTGCCTCCCTTCTTTATCGGCAGTACTAATGCTTCTAACAAAATCGAAAAAGCTAAGTGCCAAACTTGAATTTATTTTTAGCCGTCTGGTTGGCCAAGTAAGTGTCATATATATTGATAATGATTAAAATAGTTGGTTTTTTTTTTTTTTTTTTTTTGAATATAAGCATTTGATGCCCACTTGGGATGGAGAAAATCCAAATTTTTTATGATCTAACAAGCGAGGGAGAAAAAAAAAATGGAGCTTCCTTACCAGCATTGAATGTTTAGATCTGGTCAAAAACACGTCAAACAAAAACGATAAAAAATTGATAAAATTTGATATGAATATGACGGTTTAAATGGAGCCACACTTGGAGTAATTTTCATACCCTGCTTTGCGATCCTCATAATTGAGTTAAACAATTGAATTTTTGTACTTTTATGTTACCTATTAGGCCTTCTTCTTTCTTTTAATGATATTCATATTCATGTGCAAGGCAAAAGCTAGATCTGCACACACATTTACAGCCATACCCTCCTTATATTAATAAGGAATGTGTCCAAAACAAATAAGTACAAGAAATTTATCATGGTGGTCATTTTAAGAAATCGATGTTCCCTTGGAAAGAAACAATATACCAACCACCTATAGGATAACCACTACTTTGGGTCCTATATGTTGGGATAATCCGACTAGGGAATATATGTATATATATATATATATAATATAAAACCATTATAATCCAATCTTTGGGAGGATTTTATCTCTCCACATGATTGAAACATTCGTTCGTTGATATGTAAATAAAATCAGAAGATTGATTAACATATCCTACGTCTTATTGTGATAATTGGCTGCCATACGACACTTCAATCCAAAAATATCATAATCTCCCCAGCCTCCAAAAAGTAATAATAATAAAATCAATGACATTAAAGAAGGAGGGTGTATGTAACCCCAAAACAAAATGGTGGGTAAGAGATCCATCAAGCTGGTCGGTGGCAAATACAGTGCCAAGAGTGAATAATTCACTTCTTAGCTATAAAAGATAATTTAAAAATGACAATAATAATGAACAAAATATTTAAGAGATAAAAAAGATTGTAAAGCATTAAAAAAATAAATAAAGAATGAGTTTTATGCCTGTAAAGATTTTTGGGAATTGCTAGGACTTCTTTACAGAAAAAAAGCGTTTGCCAAATGTTACGTCTGGCTGGGTCCAAGGCAGCCTTTATGGGATTCTTCTCCTAATAAAATCTGTAAGCTTCCAAACATGTCGTTTCTTAGGGCCGTTTAGTTGTTAATTTAAATTTTTAATTCGAATTAAAATGTGATTTTATGTAATAAATTTTTATTATAATAAAAAAATTAAATATGACTGTTTCTGAGAATTTTTACTGCTTTATTTTCATTAAAAAGCTGAAACCATAAGCTAAATCTATCTACCATTTTCAATAGACTATCATTTCTGCGAATAGCTTATTTCCTTACTCTATTGTACTTACTTTTCTTTCCCCTTTCTTTTGCTTTTTTTAATGCAACTTAATGCTTACAGCTTATAAGATCCAGCGAATAAAATTGCAGTCCAATAATGTTGGACAAACTCCAAGTGACAAAATATACTTATACAATTAAGAAGAAAAACTCTTTTTTTTTTTTTTTTTAATATATAACAAAATGAATGAAAGTTTAAAAAACCAGAAAATACAGTTTTTAAGCTAAACGCGTTTGTGTGTGTGCATATATATAAACGTAAACATGGCATATTATAGTCTTGTCCCAAAGCTATTTGATAAGCTACGTGCCATCAACATTGTTCTCCAAACTTTGTTTGCCATTATGAGTGAATTTATACCACTAGTATTTTTTTTTTCCTCCCTACAAACATAAAATTTACGTATCCAAATAGAATTTGATCTAAAAAGTGGGTTTAGAAGTAAGTTAATTATCAGGAAATATTTGAAAACAATTCTTTTGAGCTTATGATTTCTATTATTTGAATAAATATTTTAAGAAACGACTCAAGAAATTCTTGTACTCTCTGATAAGAGCATTTTTAATGCAATATTGAAATTTTATCCAATGTCAAGACATTTGCGTTTAAAACAATATTGCTCTTCAGTATAATGTTTTCCTTTATATTAAGTTCAATATATTTTATATTTTGGTATGTCTAATTTTGATTTTGGTTAAATTTCTTTTTGTAAATTCTAAAATTTAAAATTGATGACAAAAAATAACATTTAAACTAGCTAGAGAACAAAACAAAACAATATATTACGTGAGTTTTATATTTTTTTTATATGTCAATAGCCAAAACAAGGTCATTATTAATTATAAAAAAACAGAGTCATTTTTCAAAAAATAAAAAATAACCTGATTCAAAAAAATAAAATAAAACAAAAAAATAACAACAATTGAGTAGATACCAAACTTCATATTTGCTGGCGGGGTCGTCGCTGCAACTTGGCGGACCCCGTTTCTGAAACCAGGTGTTTCACCACGTGTCAAATTTACATAAATGGTATTTTTTTTTTACTGTCCCTCCACCGGTCACTGCCAAGCGCGGACGTTCCTAAACCTGGAATGCGGAAACTCATTTCAGTCAAATCTATCGCGCGTGTAATTCACTCTCCCATGAAAGCTTTAATTTGTTCGCCAGTTTTATCCCGCTTGAGCAAAACGACATCGTGCAGCAAGAACGTGCATAGCACTAAGACACTGAGGAGGTGGAAAAGGCAGTGAAAAAACGAAAGTGGGCACGGAAAACCATAAAGCGGTGACACGGGAACGTGTTTTCAGTAAACAACGCCGTTTTGTGGCGCGCAGTTTTCAGTTCAGGTTTTTACCGTAATAAAAAAATTTCAATTTCCAGATTTTCAACGCGGTAAAAGAAGTACAAACTTGATGTTACTAAATGGCAGTACTCGTTTATTTTATTTTATTTTATTTTTTTCCTTTTCAGCTATACATAGCATTAGCAGTACTCTCTTTCTTCTTGGGGTACGTTTCTGATGCTGAAAAATTTACCCGTGAATGTCTCTATCAAAAATAATAATAATAATAAAATAAAAGAAGAAGAAAGAGTAATTCCTTTGAGAAGTCAATTTTTGAATTTTCCAAAAAAAAAAAAAAAAAATGAAATGAAAAATGACCAGCTCTTAATGCTGAAAATTAATGGTTGTGTTGCATTTAAAGGGAGAAATAAAAGCAACTAAAACCCCATATATGCAGGGCTATAACTTTCCTTGGCATGGGACATATGGGCATATATTGTTGGGAAGTAAAAAAGTAATTTTGCCAATAAAAGAGAGATTCACCGGGAAAACACAGTTCACCACTTCCGGGCATCTTTTGGGACCACCAATTATTATGGCGTGGACTAAGATCTCGTTCATTTCACTGATTTGAATTTTTAGTTTTAAATTTCTATAATAAAAAGCTCTCAAAAAATATCACATCTAACTTTTTTTACTACAGTAAAAAATTTTATAAAAATGTCGCATTTCAATTCAAATTAAAAACTTAAATTTACAAAGTGAACGAGACCTAAATCACTGATATCATGAACAAAATTTTGACCTCCATTGCTATTTACATGAACAAAGCCTATAGAGTAATAGGGGCCATTATAGCCTGTGTAAAGTCTCTTCTCGATCAAAATTTAGTGACACCACAAAAAGAAAACGGAAGCAGAATAATTGATAAAAGAGTACTTGTAATTCTGACTTTCCTGTAAAAAATAATAATAATAAAAGTAACTGCTGATATGTTCTCTCTCACTTTTTTTCTTTTTTTTTTCTTTGCTACGTTTGGCTTCCACTTCCCATATGCACAACATTAATGAAACTAGCTTTATTTGTTTATTTATTTATTTCTCCAGTAAAATCATTAGCAGCAACAGAAAAAAGAAACTTTTACATCAATCAGATTATCAGAACTTCAACCTCTTTTTCTACTTCTTCTTCTCTGGTAATGAGTACCCATCACATCTCTCCACCTTCTTTAATCCTCATGGAGCACAAGAACACAAAAAAATTTGAAGGAAAAAGAAAATACAACTGAAAAGTTGTTTGATTTTATGATCTTCTTCAGCTACAAATTATATTCCCTGTTTTTTATTATTTATTTTTTATGCTTTATTAAAAAAGAACTGTCAATGAGTTAGATGATGTCCAGCTGATTTGGCGCCTCGGAGACACTTGGTCGAATTCCTTGCTGCAAAGTCACAAAAGAATAAGTTTGATTTGTGAAAAAATATAGTAGGAACAGTAACAAAGACTAACAACTTTAGTAACAATGGCAAAGTTAGTACTTCTTTATTTGGTTTCATGTCAAAAAAACAAAAAAACTAATAATCAATTAGCACTATCCAATTGATTATTAATGCACATAATAAAAGCAATATAATTGGTCTACATTACCTTGTTACTAAAAACACATGATTTTAGTGATCCGAGTTTCCAAATTTTCTAAAAGAATTGTGAACCGCAAAATGGGGTCAGTAAGTTATGAACAAACATCGCATTTGTACCTGCTAAGATGATGAAAAAAGGAATGGCTAGATTTAGACAAAAGGGGATTTGGGAAGAAAAATTGTAACCAAACTGAGAAAAGGAAAGAAAGCGAATATCCAACCTTCTTTTTGGATTGTTGGCAACAGAATGTTTTTATCATCAAGGCAAAGTTCCTTTGCAGCAGTGACCACCTGCAAAATGGGGACCAAATAACTGATATCCATGAGCAACAAAGCGAGAGAGATTTCAATATGAAACTTTACTATGAAAGAAGACGTGTTTTACAATGATACTTTATTACAACATGCACGGTATAAATTTTCATTTCCTTGTGCAGGAAAAAGGAAATCAGTTAGACCAATTGAATTGACCATAAAGCGTTTAGCCCATGAGAAGTTATTATTCGAGCCAATCTTGAAAGCAACATTTGGTCCAGTTAAAAACATTTCATCAGTCAATATCGTCATCACTATTTCATGAAAGTATAAACCTGATCATAAAAAAGAGAATTTAAAAAGAGATTTGAGAGACAAAAAAAAAAAAAAAAAAGTACCTGATTGATTTGAGAGGCAAACTAGGACGCATCCAGAAAATTTGAAATCCATTCAAGGGATCCTTTTGCAGATGTGGAATTCCTGTTTATATCCCGTTGAAACTTTATTGATTCATCAAGTATAAAAAGAGCAAAAAACTGCTATGAAAGAATCAGAGAGGAAAATGTCTAACTGTGAAAGAAAATGTACCTAGTTTTACAGCATTAGATTCTGCATCAGCTGAATGACTTGGTATGAGGAGTGAAATACAAGAAAAACAATCTACCCTTTAGAAGAAATTGAGATCGGTATATCCATGTGAGTGTGGCAACAACTCTTCTACCTCAATCCTAGAACTAGAACAACTCATGCTTTTTTTTATTCGGCTGCGATTTAAGGACTCGACCTCTGCTAAGAAAATGCTGTAAACCGGTCTATGATCAGAAAACCTAGACTCGCCACGGACATAAGACAGCTGATGTAGGCCTCTTCCGTACCATAATATTCGATCACACCTTCATATTTAGAGACCAGGATTAGTTCTTTCCAAATTATTGACACACTCTTGAATCATGGCACATGTTAACTTGCTTACTCTTCCATTTTCATCAGTCATGTTAAGTTTTGAATTCAGATTAATTACCATGCAGGAGTTCTTCGCTTCTCCTTTGGCCGCCTATCCTCTCCTGCATATCTGTCTGAGTTATTTGAGTACTTGTATGTGGGCGGGAAATATATCTTCCCTTCATTCCAGCCTTCAAAAACTCTCCCTGTTCTCTGCTCTATCCTCAACTGAAAGTGTAAACCAAATTTTAAAAAAATAAATAAAATAAAGTAAAAATTTTATTGAAAAAAGAAAACAAAAAAACAAAAACAAGATAGTAAGAGTTTAATGGCGTGCCTGATCATTCTCTAACAATGCCCTCCAGTTGCGCATCTCAACAAGAGCCTTTGCAGAGCGGTAAGAAAGAGCAATCCGATAATTCAAATCCCCAAGCCAAATTATTCGACTGCACAACACATTTTTGAAAATGGCATTAGATAAGGTTCTCTGGAATTGCCAGCCACAATAGTCCAAGAGAGAACAACACAAAGGTAAAACAAAAAACACATGATTATAATAACATTAATAAAAAAACAGAATAAGTTAAATGAGGTCAACATCAGAAGGAGGCTTACTCATGTTCCAATATTGTCTGTGGGGAGTTCTCATCTCCCATGCCATGATTAACCCTCGGAAACCGTGTCTTCCTTAGGATCTCCATGACATCAGAGTTTCTCCTCAGTTCATCTCCTTCCTTCTGCCCAGAAGTCAAATGACTACAGATGAAGCAAAAGCTTGTTTGGTGCAAAGACATGCTAACTGAAATTGAACCCTGGTAAAAACCCGAGACAATGAGATTCATTTATTTTCCACTTTTTTTTCCTTTATTTATTTATTTATTTTTTTTATAATCAAATTTTCAATCCCAAAACAGATTAAACAACAAGAAGTCTTGTTCTTACCTTGTTTCCAAGATACCCCATTAGTCCTCTGCCAACACAAGACACTTTCAAGTTTCGAACATCATCTCTCAGATCACTCTTCACCCACACCGTTAGGAATATACCAACCATTTGCTTGCTGGCAACAAGGCAGTACCTAGAAGAATTCCCCGCCTGTCTATCTCTATCTTCCATAGAGAAGGAGCCATTGTAGGACAATGGCGAACAATGCGTGGTCACCACCGGGGAATCCCCGGGTCCATTCTCGTCATCGGAGGATCCCCATCTGTAATTCGGATCATAATCACTCGGCCTGTTGCCGAAGATCACCCGATCACAGACACTGAACCGGCGATCAAGCCTCGGTTCCATCACTGACATGTCATTGTCCATCCTCATGCTGCGGCTCAAGGACTGGAAAGACCTTCTGTGGAAGAAAGCGGAAGCCTTCTTCCTCGTCGAGCCCTCGAAATCGGCATCGATTTCTACTATCGGATCGGGAACAGGTGATGGGGTATGGTAGCCAATGCTGGTCCCGGGAAGACTGTTTAAAGTCCTCCTTATAAGGGCCAGCCATTTTCTCGCTGGGCCATTGTCTTCTGTCCCCAAAACGTTACCGGCATTCAAAGGGACTATTTCTTGAAACCTGAAAAATCCAAAAAAAAAAAAAAAAACAAATAATAATAATAATAATAATCAGAAAATGCATTAACTCAAAAATGTAACGAATTTTGATCAATCGGGGGACATACCCAAGAACGTAAATGTCAGCAGGAGGAGAGGTGTGGAGCCAATCTTCAAGACTCAAATAACTCGGAGGGGATTTTCCAGCGACATTCCATGTAGCTACAAAGATTCTGAAGAAACAAACTAAATTTGGAAAGAGTTTAATAAACAAAAAATAATGAATGAGAAAAAAAAAGTGAGTAACATTACCTATAATTATGCACATCTGTAACTTGTGAGGAGTCAAGATCGATTTTGCCTCGCCGGATTCTATCAGAGTGCCTCTTGCTGAATCTTTCTGGTGCATTTAGAAAAGGAATATAATCAGAGTGATTAATGAAGATTAAGGCCCAAAAAAAAATTAGAAGAAATTCGGCGGTGTCAAAGAAGTTAATTGTCATTTTATGCGTTTGTGTATTTTGTATTGGCGTGGTCCAAAGCAATAGTGTATAGGTGTCTTCAGATGCTGAAACCTGTTTTACTTTTCTTGATTGTGCACGTCTCCCTCCCTGAATAGGCGTTTCTCCACTCTTCATCAACACCTGGAAAAGAACAAGTATAAAGTTACTAAAGCTGTTGTCTTTCCACTGTCGATGAATCAATTTTAAAGCATTCAGGAAAAAAAAAAAAAAAAAAAAAAGAAGAGAAAAATTGAATCATAAAAAACTTCCAGTCTTCTCCCCAATGAAACAAGAACAGAGAAATTTGAGGAAGAGAACAAAAAGCAGATCTTGAACTGAAAATGGAAGTGGAATAAATGGAGACTTGAATATAATGCCACTTTGGGATTCTTGGTATCTTGGTATAACATCTGAGATTTTTTTTTTTTTTTTTAATTATTTCGGAAACAAGAACAGAGAAATTTGAGGAAGAGAACAAAAAGCAGATCTTGAACTGAAAATGGAAGTGGAATAAATGGAGACTTGAATATAATGCCACTTTGGGACTTTGGGATTCTTGGTATAACATCTGAGATTTTCTTTTTTTTTTTTAATTATTTTATTGATTTCGAAATCCCAATTTGAACCCAAATGAATCACCTCCATAAAGGACATCATCAGCCTGAAAGTCCTCGGCTTTGCTCTTAATGTTGAACCACTTTTTCACCAGCGTCTTTGGCCATGAAAGCTTCATCAATCCAAAAAAGAAAAAAAAAAAAGATTCAGTAATCTATGACCAAAAACACAATTACAAAAGAACAAAAAAGAAATGCTTGCATTTCTCAAACCTTGCTCTTCTTGGAATTCTCATCTCTCATTGTTTCACAACTTCATATAGCAATCTTGATTCACAACAGCCAATGCGATTTCAGTTCTTTTCTTGCGATACTTTCTGTGTTTCACTTCGAACTCGGGAATCAAAATGGAAAAGAAGAAGGAAAAAAATAATGGAACGGAAGCTCAAGCTTTTTGAGCTCAAAGCAATGAAAACTAGTCAACAATTTTTTGGACACTAACAAAAGGGAAACTACTCAAATCAATCCTCTGCTTTTTTTTTTCTTTTTTTTTTTTTTTTGGGGCTCTCTTTTCGTTTGACTGAAAAACAGAACAAATCTTAAATCCCAGTCTCACAACATTTTGGTTTCCAAGCTTCCAATGGTGAAAATCTAAAAATACTCAGTTGGGCTTTTTTCTTTTTCCGGTTAATGCTTGAGTTTCAGTCGACTAAAATCAAACGTATATGAACAGAAAGGTACAGCCTCTAAGCGTGGAAGTTAGATATGAGAGATTCTGAGAGTAGAAGACGACAATGTAGAAGAGAAAGAGAAAGAGAAAGAAAGAGTTTGTCTCTAAGGAAACCTCGTTCTAGGCACAGAGCAAACTATCAAATTTGAAAGAGAATAAAGTGCAGAGAGAGAGAGAGAGAGAGAGAGAGAGCTTCGCTCCCTCGAGTCTTTTTTAACCCGAAAATCCAAGGTCGACACAAGCAAGCTCGGGACTTGGATATATTGGTCCCCAACGCACACCGGCACTTAAAACTCACTCTCTCTCTCTCTCTCTCTCACTCACTCTCTCTTTCTTTCTCTCTCTAGAACTGTATGTTTTGTTTCGTGTGGTTTCTCTCTCTTAACTGCTGCCCGCGGTCAGCCAAAGTTAGGTTTGATCTAATTGACCAATACCTTCAGTTTGGCCTTTCTTCACTTCTATGTAGAAAGACAAATTATTTATTTTGTTTTTTATTTATTTTTTCAGGAAAAATATGCAGTTAAGAAATAGATAAAAGGGAATAAATGCGCTTGGAGAGTTGTAGGCCCCGTTTACTTTCCTGATTTGAGTTTAGAATTTAAATTTTTTTATAGTAAAAAGTTTTCATAAACAATCACATTTAATTTTTTTGTTACAGTAAAAAACTATCACATAAAATCACATCTTAACTCGAATTTTAAACTCAAATCAGCGAAGTGAATGAGGCCGCAATAATTATGAGATTTTTACGCTGGACTGCTGGAGTATGGTATTCACCCTTGTTTTGAATTTATGGTGAGGTTTTATTTACGGGTTTAAAATTATATTTTATAATTTTAATTTTTTATAAAAGAAAAATATTATAGTAGAATTAAAAATTATGATTTTAAATCATGTATAATTTTTAAACAAACGTCACTTATATTTACATATTTTGTGTTTTTTGTTTATTAGTTTCGGATTTGTATTATTTTTTTAATTTGATTTCATTTTTAATTAAATTTAATATAAATTCGACGGCTGATAAATAGAAAACACTAGAGAAAGTCTCGTTTTTGTTATTATTATTTTGATGTGATTTTAGATAATTTCTCTGGTGTTTCCTCCTTTTTTGTTATTATTATTTTAATGTGATTTTAGATAATTTTCTGGTGTTTCCTCTTTTTTAAGGAACACCGGTGTTCTCTACTTTTTAACTGTTGGATTTTACTACTTTTTAATCTGATTTGCTTTTAACAAGATTTAATGTAGATCTGACGACTGCTAAACAAATAACACTAATATTCTTAAAAAAGACGAAACACCAGAGAAAATTCTATAATTTTAATTGAATTTAATGTTACAAAACAGGCACTTAGATAGAAATAAGCTCCAAAGTGAAAATATATAATCATCAAAAATCTTCTCCTTTTGATCATTATTGGTGTGTGTGACTTGGTCTATTTGAAGACGTGTTTGTAGAGAGATAGAGAGAGACGTGCATCCATAGTTGGGAGGAATGTTTGGAGTAGGTTTTTTATATGAGCTGAGATTGTTTCCTTAGGAGGGTATGTGAGATTTCACAGTGGGTTTTTTTTTTTTTTTTTTTTTTTTTGGGTATTATGAAAAGGGGTGTTTCTCTATTGCATGAATCAAGTATTGGGGTTTGAGAATTGGTGTAATCACTATAATGTGTTTGTGGTCCAACTTTGGAACAGCATTTTTCACCTCCTCAAAACCTTCATTTGTTGCTTTTAAGCAGAGCGGTTATGTCACTCTGCTATTCCAATTCGAGCCTCTTTTGACTGGATCAAGACTCGTGTCCAAGAGTACCCAGGCACATGCCCCAACTTTGGGGGGGTTTTTGTTTTGAGCAATTTCATTTGCTTACAAAGCTCAAATTTATTCATGGGTTAATGTGAAAATTTGTGTTTGATAAGTGCCTTCCCCACAAAAAAAAAAAAAAAAACCTTGTTGTACGCTAAGGTAGGATCTTGTTAGGCCATAAACCCTAAGTCATTTGCCCACACAAGACCACAACCCACGCAATCTCATGGGGTTTCGAGTAGACTATACAATATTTGTCTTAGTTTAATACTTAGGCGGAACAAAGTAAGTTATTGGATTAAGCTCTCAAGGCTAGTTTTCTTAATTGACTAATCTTTTTCTTTAATTAATGCACATGCCACATGTGGGAGACTCTGTATGATTCCCTTAACTCAGCTTCATATTTCAAGGCTCTCTTTGCAATCAAACGTTTTCTTAATTGACTAATCTTTTTCTTTAATTAATGCACATGCCACATGCGGGAGACTCTGTATGATTCCCTTAGCTCAGCTTCATATTTCAAGGCTCTCTTTGCAATCAAATAACGTATTAATTTAATAATCACATTCAGTTTATAATGGATTTAATTAACAAGACCGAGACGGCAAAACGCTCCAAGTATGGCATGTTCTTTTGTAGTGTAATTTGAGTGTAGTTTTTGAGTTGAATTTGAGTTATAACTTGAGTTGAAGTTGTAACTTGAATAAAGTTGAGTAAAGTTAAATAAAATTGAAATTTAAAAGAATATGAACTTGAATAAAATTGTAACTTGAGTTTAAACTTTTTCTGAATTTTGTTGCAAAACAACAATTCCTAGAGCTCGTCTTCGTGACATCCAAATTGGAATCCCCTAACCACGCTCAAACCCACATTACCCTAGTGAAGCTTCCACTACCACTATAGGCATTTCCTAGTTCCCAACGAATGTTGTGTTCAAAGACTTTATCTAAGGCATAGCCCTCCAACCGAAAAGCTCTCTCTTCTTGTAGTCTTTTGTCCACGTGGCACCCCTTGACACGTGTCACGCCGTGATCATGGAAAGAGGGGGACAAAATGGTTAGTTCTAATTTCCATGAGCATATTAATGTATTTCATTTTTTTTGTTTTTTTTGGATTTCTGTGGAGTTATGTTGGCTTTAAAGGGAGTTGAATTTCAATTAAAAAAGGGTATATAATTCATTTCCCGATTAACAAAAAAAAAAAAAGAAGAGTAAATCATGTAATTTAACGGCTAAAATATTCTATGATGTAGCCATTTAGTATAATTCTAAATTTTATTGTACTCGTTTGGATAAAAGGACATTATGATGAAAATTACTTTTAATCTCTCCATGACTTAAATGAAGGAAAATAGACATTTTTTTTTCATGAATTTAGGGATTTTTTTTTTTATCTATATGATTGAGTACAAGAATGGTTGTTGGCAAGGAGCTAATTTTGTATGAAACCCAACACAACACGCCCATGTTTGTTTCTCATATTTAGGAGATGTTTGGTTTATCAATTAGAATCATGTGATTAGAATTATTTTTAATTTACGTATATTTTTATGAGAAAAAATATTATAATAAATCATGAATTATAATTTAAATATCATAATTTAAATCATTTTGAATCTTCCAACTAAACGTCTCTAAATTTATTGAGAATCATCTTGAATTACACATTAACCGACCATAGTTTTAATCAAGTATCTGGCCGATTAACATAATGTTACAAGAGACCAAAAATAATCAGACAGAGGAAAATTGTTTGGCAGTTACTATCTTTTCAAGCTTTTCTTAGCCAGCAAACAATCATGACACTTGTGTTTGTGGGATAATTATTTTGCAATGCTTGGCTTAAAAAAAAATGATAATGATTTTACAAGCTCGGATTTCCATGGAGAAAATTGTCCTATAAATGGTTCAAAAGACTTGAAAGAGAAAGAGAAGTGGTTGTGCAGAGACTATTTAAAGTGACAAGTGTGCAAACTAGAGCAAGTGCATATCTATCCAGATGACAGAATTTGGTTTTCTTTAATGGTGAGAATGGCGGTTTGTGGTGGTCATTTATCATGCAAATGGGATCTAAGGCGACACCATAGACTTGATTCAATTATGGTATCATGAATTTTATGATTTTCTCAAATCTCCTTTTTTTTTTTTTTTCAAATCTTTTTTTTTTTTTTTTTTTTTTTTTTTTTACATGAGCTGTACCGTACATCTAGCCACAACCTATAGGACGTGTGGGACATTGGATTATTACAACATCAGATTTGTTTAATGTCCATTTTTTAAGTACAAATATTTTTTGGTTTTTTGCTGCAACTTTGAAGCCTTATATCTTAAGAAATATTATGCTTGTTTTTTTTTTTTTGTAATCGAAAGATTGTGCTTGAATTAAACCAATTCCCATTCTCCACATAAACAAGATTTAAAGCTTGTCTTGATGCTGTATCTGCCAAGTATTAGAGAAAAAAAAAAGTTCAAATTGGATCAAAACATTTTAGACTTTTTTTTTTCGGTAGGATACAAAAAGCAAATACCATGCAAATCAATATGACATAGGTTTGAATCATCAGATTTCAATCAAAATTTATTTATGATTAAAATGGTCCAAAATAGTATTACATGTACAATATATTTTGATACGTTATCATATAATTCGAATAAAATTTCAATCAATTCAATATATCATTTTATTGCTAAGAAGGTGAATTTATGCCATCTAACACTAATCACATTTTAAAGAATTAAGGTAAAAACTAGCAGTAGGAAAGCAATAGTACCAATTAACAGTGATAAGAAAAGGGTATTTTTTTTGTGAGGAAACTTTAACACTGGTGCCAAGGACTAGGGTTTTCCAAGACTTGTCCTAATTCAAATTAAAATGAGAAAATGAGAGATAGATAGGCAAACGAGGCAGTCAAAGGATGATCTTTG